AAAAAAAGTACTACAAATCACAATAGCTAAAAATTTAAAATATTTTTAAAATCATATAAAAATTTCAATAACTTCTCAAATTCCATAGTATGACATAAATTAAAATTAAAAAAAATATATATATTGGGCCCCGTGCTGGCACGGGGTCCTATATCTAGTGTCCAAATAAAACTTAAGCTCACCTAATTTGAATAAACTTCTTATCAAATTAAAATAGACCAAATAAATTGAATCGTATCATAAACCCGCCCACAACCATAGTTGATTTTAGTTATAATCCCTCCTTAATATAATTGTCATTAAGTTAATCCTTTTTTCTTTATCCGTACTTAGCACAGTTCCCTAGGTCTCTTGTACTTCCCCTTGTCGTCTATCTTTCTCAAATAATCTTCAAATTATTACTGGTATCAATCTCCGTTGTTGTAGATCGATAATCCATCCCCCATTGGAGATTTGGGGATGAAAGAGTCAATCAAAAGCAGTACCAGCAGCAGCGATGAAGCTGTCTGGGAAATTAGACCCAGCGGCATGCTTGTTCAGAAGAGAGAAAACGATGCTGCCGCTAATCCCACTATTATCATCAAGGTCTCGTATGCTTCTCAGGAATTTGACCTTCCTGTGCCACCTGAATTCACTTTTGGTAATATTCTCCCCTCATTTCAGTAATTTTCAGTAATATTTTTGGTTATATTTCGAGGTCGAAAGGATAGGGATTGTCCAGTTTGGTGTGGATTCTGTATAGAATGTGTGTTTATGAGTTTGTTTATTGTATGTTGCTTGGTACTAGTAGGAATCAAATTTTTAGTTTATGTGTTCCGGATCACAATTTTAATTATACATGTTAAAAGTTAAAAAAATTAGGGTTTAGCCAAAACTATTGAGTTCTGCCAAAGCCGTAACTGTTAGCATGATGGATAGCTCACACATAATGAATTAATAGCGAATAATTGTATATATTAATGTAACTATATAGTTTTGTATATGAGTGTAATTATAGCCAAAACTATTGAGTTCTGCCAAAGTCGTAAGTGTTAGCATGGTGAATAGCTCACACATCACGAATTAGTAGTATTTAATTGTATATATTAATGTAACTATATAGTGATGTATATAAGTGTAATTATAGAGATTTGTTGTAGTAATCAAAGAAAATAAATATTGTGATAGAATAACAAATTTGGAGGGATAGAATAAAGAATTGTTAGGGATAGGAATGACGGATCTTTAGGGATGTACTATGTATACTTTCTATTTAATGGCAGCACTCTCAATTTGAGAAGCATTCAACAGAAATTTGAAAGTAACCACAATAATGTCTCCACCCCTGGTAGGATGTGACTTGTATCTATCCTTGCATGGTTTCTCAGTACAGTGGATAATGTTTCTAAAAAATGTTATTTCGTCCGTTTTCTTTCAATTTCTTAATAAATGATGATGTCAAGCTGCACTTGCACCCATCTCAACTATTCCATTGGGACCTGCATCCTCCCACCAAGGCTAAGGCTTAGATAGATTGAAAGAAGTCTACCGGGTTTTCTTACTTTTTTGGAATTTGAACTGCCTCCCATGATTCATTCGAGCTTCATCCACTTTTATGCCACACTGTTGTTGCACCACTTGCTACTTATATAATGGCAAGGTAGATTTGTAATTAGAATGGGAGGAAATGGAATGGTAGCTATCTACATTTTAGGATGAGGAAAAGTGTTTACAATGATAACCAACTACACCACAGTGCCTTCTTAAGCTCTTACCATTTTCTTTTTTATCACAATAATTGAAAGCGATTATAGTCCTCGAAAGCAATGTTTACGACATTGTTACCTGTGATCTGTGCGGTGTTTCAGTGTGTGTAAGCTTTTATTAACTCAAATCAAATCAATTTAGTAAATGTAATAGTTTTTATTGTTTTAGTGAAAGTAATAGTTTATTGTTGGATTTACTAAAATTCGTTCATGTTAAATTACTGTTGCATCGTCTATATTTGTACATGGATGTTATAAGTTGTCCACAATACTCTTGCTATGCTTGAGCTGTTCTAAGCATTTAATGCCAATCAAATTTGGATATAGGTGAAGTAAAAAGTATCCTTTCCTCAATAATCGGTTTGGAGCCTAAGGTGCAAAAACTTCTATTCCGTGGAAAAGAAAAAGAAGATCATGAATATCTGCACTTGGTTGGTGTGAAAGACAATTCCAAAGTGTTAGTTATGGAGGAAGAAACGGTTGAGGAAAAAATTCCTGAAGAGGTTAGGGTTACCACTGAAATATCAAGAGGAGCCGAAGCTGTTGCTGAAGTGAGAACAGAAGTGGATAAGCTCTCAGAGCAGGTTGATTTCCTTTTGTTGTAAGGTGGCTGATGAAACCATCATCTCTTAATTTGAAGTCTTACTTTGGTCTTCATTACAACAGGTCTCTGCTGTACAAGCCGTCGTGTTTGGTGGTACTAATGTTGAGGACAAGGATATTATCCATTTGACAGAAATGCTGATAAGACAGCTACTGAAATTGGACGGCATTGAGGCTGCAGGAGAAGGAAGAGTACAAAGAAAGTCGGAGGTTTGTTTCCTAGACAATTAAGATTTTTCCTACTTGTCAAAATAATAATTATTGAGTTTATCCTAGCTTGACTTTCTACTGTTGCGATATGCCACTAACTAGACTTTGAATTGTATTTGATGTTCTTCACCTAGGTAGCACTTGGTTTCAATTCTGATGACTTAACATTTGTGTAAAAATGACTGAATAGCTTTGCTAATCATGTGTAGAAAACCACATAAGATAGATAAAATGTCAAGCCCTCAACCCTTCGAGGTGGCCCAGTGGTTTGGGCTTGGGACTTCCATGTTGGAGGTCTCAAGTTCGAAACCCCTTGCCAGCAAAAACAATGGGTTTGCCTTCTGGGTCGAGCTCGTCGCACTGGGCTTGCCTAGTGCGGGTTACCTCTCCTATGTGGTTTGCGAGCTATTGCATAGGATCAGGGATTTTACCTTGTGCGCACCCAAAGGGTAGCAGCTGCGGGTTTCCCTTGTCATAAAAAGTAAAAAAATGTCAAGCCCTCAAAGTTTGGAGATTCGAGGCTGTATGCATAATTCCCTTTGCTGTTCTTTCTGGTAGAATTATGCCCTTTTTTTACAGTATATTTTCACTAATACCGAATGTTGCTTTATAATTAATTGCATGAGATTGGATTTTTTTTTTTAACATAACTCTGTGACATAGCTTGGATGTCTGCCCAAACATAAGTTGTCCCTTTAAATCTTGAAAATAATTACATTCATTTTGACACCAAGAAGTCCATTTTGTTCGTATTAGGCCTGATCTAAATTATTTTATACACAACATAGCAAGTTGAGGCCAGCTGTATGAATCATCACTGTCCATATCGCTGCAATATAAGTTCATCTCATTGCAGTATTGTATAAATTAAAATAAAAAATGAGTACCTGAACTTTTCTATATTTTCCTACTGGCAGGACTAAGGGGCTCTTAGAAAATAATGGACTAAAATAGACATGCTAACATAACTAAATCTTAATCCCAACTAATTGGTATTGCCTATTCAGATCTCTTTCTTCCATTCTTCCCTATTCTTTTCGCTAGGTCTGCATGGACTTCAAAAGTTCTCTCATTTTGCCATATGTGGTTAGATTTAATCGTCTAATATTGTATGGATGCATATATACCTTAGCATCCTATCCACAGACACACATCTTGTAGATATGTTGGACTTAAGCCTGACAGTCAGTCCCATATAACTTGCCTTCTAAATTAATGTTTTCGGCGTGTTATTCTTATTGGTAATCAAGATAACAAGCTTTGGCTTAAAGAGAGGTTGAGTGGATGATGAAACTTGCCTTTTAAGTTAATTATTTCAGATTTTATTCTTATTGGTAATCAAGAGGCGAAACAAGCTTAACTTCTAAAAGAAAAGGAGAGATGTTACCTAAGGGTGTGGCTAGTGGTCGATGTAATGGGTTGAGAACTATGAGGTCTCAGGTTCAATCAGCCAGAGAAAAAAACATGAGGTGATTTCATCCCATTTGTTTAAGCCTTGGCGGACAAATTTACCCAGTACCAGTGCCTGTGCTGCTGGAAATTAGCAGGTAACACGTGGAATTAGTCAAGGTGTGCCCAAGTTGGTCCAACACCATAGTTTTTTAAAAAAAGATGTTACAAGCTTTGGTTAAAGAGAAAGTGAGTAGATGATGAGGGTCTTCTGTCTGCGACCCTGTGTGTCACATATTTATAAATTTAGCTCAGCAACATTTCGTTCTTCCGTTAAAAAAATGGTTAATAAGAAATTATGCAATGCATATCATTTTGAATACAACTAACAAAACAATCAATAAGAATAATCCAGGATAATTTGTTTTCAAACCAAATGACCCCTGAATGAGTTAAATTTGTATGTCATCTAAAGAAATAAAAAAACTAATAAAACTGAAACGAAAATAATCAACTCTCTTTGGTTTTTTGTATTTGTTAACAAAGAGATATAGTGGTTTTGATTTCTTTATAGGTAAAAAGCAAACCAAACTGAACCATGAACATTCATAGCTATGTCTATAGAAATTTTTTGGTGGAATAGGATGCTTCCACTAGTAAATGCAAGGAAAGAACTATAACAACTGACTCAAGCTAGTTGGGTCGACTATTTGAATCATTATTATTCATTTCACTCCTTTTAGACTGTTTCATTCCAATATTTGATAAATTAGAATCTCCAACCTTAGAAATTCTCTACATTTTCTATTGACATACGAGTCCCCCAGCGAGATTAACAAGTCTCCAAACAAATATGGACTACCACTAGACCTAATGGTGTAGCCTTGTGGTCAATGAAGTGGGAGAGAACCATAAAAATCTCAGGTTTAAATTCCAACGGAGATGAAAAAAATACGATGTATTTATTACGTCTTGATTACATGATATATCATACCATTGTCCAGAAACTTTGAGCTTAGATATCTAAAGTATCTACATTTAGGCCTTGCAATCCTGTTTATCTTACATCAAGCCTACTCATATGCTCGTTGCTCTACTTATAGTGCATATATTTCGTCTTATTTCCACATATCTTAGAACTCTTACTCTCAAAGATGTTTCTATATAATTCTAAGTTTTTGTTGATACCCTTGGTTGATTAGTCAATCAACACAATATTGTCTGCAAAAAGTATACACAATTGGGAAAAATTAATAACTCAAGGGGAAGTGCACAGCTGATTCCAGAACCGCCATTTAAGTTATTTAAGCTGAACTGCAAATAATTAAAGCCACTCGCTACTCCTAGTTGACAGTTGTGTTAAATCAGCTAAACCTAATTTGATATTCTGATCATGGAAGCTGGAAATAAATTTACCATTTAGGATGCCTTTAATCACTCATATGGAAAAGTGGCAAAACATCGTTACTGCTTAGGTTTTGTGAAATCAAAATTACCAACAACAACAATATACCAAGTGTAATCCCACAAGTGGGGAGGGCAATTATAATGTAACCACTTTTCATTGCAAACTTCGACACGTCTATAATGACATATCTTTATTATTAGCTTGGTTATCCATGAACAAAGGAAATATTTGGTCGGGAAATCCCCCCCCCCCCCCCCCCCCCCCCTCCTC